TTCCTGTTAAATTTTTAACTAGATTTACGTAGCTTACAATACAGTCATAAACTTCATTTTTTCCTTTCATAACATAAATTTTTGCTACTTTACTATAATCATCGATTAAAACTAGGAAATATTTTTMACYYCTRAACCCTATAGTTTTATGTGGTCCATTTACATCCGCGTGAATTATATCACCTATGTCTTTTGATCAGTGCCTTTCATTTTTGAATTTAATATTTGTTATTTTGTTTTGTATACAGGTATCACATTTCATAAATTCCTTTTCTAAGTTATTTGGCAAACCTACTACTAAGTTATTTTTACTTAAAGTATTCAAATAATTAAAATATACATGTCCGAGCATTTTATGGTATTTCTCTCTCAATGTCATACCATTAGCTATACTTTCAGTTACGTAATTTTGGCTTCTTGTGAACATAGTATTTATTTTATATAAATTATTTTCTTTGATTGCAACTACTATTAATTTATTTTCTCTACTATAAATTTTTGAAGTATTTCTTGACGATATAATTTTCGCATTTTAGGCGACTTTTCCGAAACATATTAAATTCCTATCCATTTCTTTGACAAAGAATACATTTGTTAATTTGATTTCTGTTTCATTAAAATTTGTTAAAAATTTAGCTCTAACATCGCCTACAATAGTTGCTTTAAGTGTACGACTATCTTCTACTTTTACATTAATCGGGTTTTCTAAAATTTTTTGATTTTACGAAGTATTTATCACTATTTATTATATGGTCGGATTATCCAATATCTAAAATCCATTCTAGCTTATTTTCGCAAATGTTTACCTTAATGCTGTTATTTTCGCTAACCTCTGCTAATGATGTAAATACTTTGGGTTCAAAGCGATCTTGTCGTTGTTGATTACCTCGTCCTCGGTTGCCTCTGCCTCTGTTTTTAAAATTGCCGTTTTGTTGTTGTTGATGTATTTGCCATCGTACATTTCCCCGCGTTTGCTGTCCTCCTCGTGTACCTTTCCACGAATTTCTGTCACAGTACTGATACGTACACTGATATTGGAAATGTCTTTGCTTTCCACATTTATAGCACGTTCTATCTTTCCTTTTTCAGCTTTGAATACGTTTGAATTTTCGTAACTGCTTCTAGGATATTGATTCTCACTTTGTCTTTTCCTAAATTCTAATTTTAATTTTGATTTAACAAATTTCACTGTTTTTTCTTTTTCTGGTAACGCATCTACAATATCAACTATATGCGACTAGCTTCCCAGTAGTGTTAACAAAAAATAATTTAACTTATCTTCGCTTGTTATCTTTTCTCCAGCAATTTTAAGTTCGTTTACTAGTATTTCAAAATTGTTATAAAAATTTGTTAGATACTCATTTTCATCTATTTTTAAATCAAGTAGCTTTTTCTTACATAATAATTTAACTGCACTACTTTTTATTAAGAAGTTTTCATCTAATTTATTAATCATCTCTTTGGCACTTCTTTCAGAAATAATTAATTCTAGTTGTGTATTTGTTGCACTGTTCATAATATAATTCTTTGCTTTTATTTCTTTTTTCTTCCATACGGCTTCTGTGATCGTTTGTGGCCTTTCTTTAAGTTCAATAACTTCATTGCATTTTTTCAGTTTCAAGAATAATTTTAATTTATACTTTTATTTTCCGTAATAAGTCCCATCAAATACTTGTAATAGAAATCCTTTGTTTTCGGATTCTCTTTCGTCCGCCATGTTTATTCGATTCTCTTTGTGTTTATATTCTTAAACGCTTTCACAATATTATTCAGAATAACTAACTTCTTGAATATACTTACCTTTACCACCGCATATAACCACGCTTTTCTACCATGTTAAATTAATGAGGAAAAATATCCTTTAATATGGGTGGTAAAAGTTTAATAAATCTATATATTATTTTTAATGATAAAATTTCAAAGGGAACTTAGACATGAAAAAAAGTAGAACTTTAATTTAACACTAGAACTACCGGAAAAAAAACAATACTACTTCTACTAAGCCAGTCAAAATGACTGGTCATTTATAATCGTAAAAACAAAAGAATTTTTTAATTGTTTTGTTTTATATTATCATATAGAATGAATATAAGGGTATGGAAATACAT